GGAAAGAAGTCTGGCGATCAAGTAGCGGTAGCCAGGGTCTTCGCTTGATATCCCATGGAATCGTCTGGTCGTCGCTCTGGTCCGGCGTCACGCCCGTGGTCGTCCTCAGAAGCGCATGACGTGCACCGTGCCCTCCCCCACCCTCCCTCTCGATTTCGAGATCTGGAAATGCGGCCGTACATCATGAAGCGGACGTTCACTTTCTCACTTCCGATAACTATATTTGTTCGCCAGTTTCGGTTAAGGCTTATTAGAAGGGCATGCGTTGAGGCTTATGCCGAAAAAACCCTTTACATAAGCTGCACTAGCAACGGACTAGACTCGCTCGCGAAAAAGACCTTACTTATGCCACTATACTCGGTTTCGTGTTGGATCCTAGGCACACCTTTATCGGTTTTTACCCGCGGAACGGATTGAGTATTCGATCTGGCTCCTCGGCTGTGGGAGAAGCAGGCGGTAGGAGGCTGGATTTCGGCATGTTCATTGAGCACTTATTTTCTTGAAATTTAATTCATTGATTTCACCCCCATTTCACGGCAGCAGGTCTGTTGCGCTTTCGCCGCCCCCCCTGGTTCGGCGGTGCGCGAAATAGTCTACTACTTCGTTCTGTTCACTCCTGATAGTTGATCAGATGTTACCCCTTCCCCGACGCTTGGGTGTTCGCTCTCCTTCACGGCAGATTTGGGAAACGCTGGTGTGATGGTTAGTTGGGTGTGGAACGGATACCGGAGAAAAAAGTTTGGGGAGAGGGGTCGTATTAGGCAGAGATTTTCTTTGACGCTAGGAGGTGCCCTGCTAGTGATAAAAGTCTCAAGAGCAGTGAGGCAACCAAAGCACGGTGCACAAAATTTGTCTATTTCTATCATATTGATTTTTTCGTTCGTTTTTTTTCGTTACCAACACACCCTTTAACCCTCTTCTTATCCACGTTTGATCTGAACGCGCATTTTTTTCCAGATTTCGATCTAGGTTTGTGAAAACTTTCGTGAGGTATTCAAAAACGTGACTGAAATAGAGTTGAAAACAACAACGTTCAATCGCGTTTAATTTTTTTATGTGGCACAATCCCACTCAAAATTATAGCGATATATTGGGCCCATGCAATGAACTAGGCCAGTCGATGCACAAAGGGAGATTCTGTTGCCCGGGGAAAGTTGATCCAGGATTTGACCACGCGTCGGGTAAGCGGATTCACTTGCCACTGCAACACCTCTTCAGCGCGATGTTTTCAGATTACCGGTTCTAGGAAGTATTTATTAGGTGTGATTATTGTTAGACAAGAACCAATAAGCCAACTTGCCTCTGGTCATCTCTTTTTATTCTATGACGCGTCATTGTTTGCTCTGTGTCTCATGGGTTATTCCCAAAACTCTCACCGTCTGCACTCTGCCAGTAGAGAGTGCCGAAACTGGTTAAATCATCACGGGTAAATTGCTCGGCATTGTAGTAGCCGTGTTCAAAATGTTAATGACCCGTCTGATTGCGACCAAAGGCCATTCTGCCGTCTGCTGTGCGGGTTCACACATCGGCTAGCGCTGATATTCTTTTGTAATTCAGGCTTTCTTATTTCCAACTAACTTACGTCGGCTTACTCGAAATCCCGCTTTTCTCTATAACCTTTCCCAGATCACTATTTAAGATTGGTTATCGACATTTTAGTGTTTCACCTACGTTGTGTTATTTGCACTCATTGGTATTTGCTTTTATTCAGCAGCTGGACACGGTCCGGCTTGGAAGGGTCACCAAGTGGTACTTAGCGAAGCTGGTTCAAATCACCTTGTGAAGGCTCTAAAGTTTTTATAACGAATTTGGCTCAGTTGGAGCATTTCGCTTTTAGCTTAGCTTTAGCTTCACAGGAGTGTAGAGGTCTCACCAAAGTGTAGCCTGTTAACCTAGTGTAGCCTTTAACTAGCTGAGGAAACTAGCATAATTGCAAAATCTCCCTCCCAAGACGAACAGTGCCAACAACTGTTTTGTTTATGCACAGTAGGAGTAGCTTTATCTATGATGTGGATGGAAACATCTAGACCTTTTCAATCGATATCTGTCGGTATTTCATTAGTATTTGTTTGTTGATACTATTTATTTTTTGCCAACTATTGACCCTTTTCCATAATTACAGTTCAACTGCAAGACTATTCATTGGTTAACGATTAGGGGATGCGACGCTGAAACTGTAGCTTCGTGATTTTAGAAAGGTCTATGGACTCATGATCGGCCGTTGTTTAACCACAGCATAGCTATTCCATAAATTATAATTTATTCAAGTCGTCAAAGATCGGTATTAAATTTTTATTAACGAAGGCCAATTAACAAAGGCATCTTCTGCATAGGTAGTAACAATGTGAAACTCCAAAAATTTATTCCAAAAAACTCAAAAGACAGCAAAAGTCTCAAAAGTTTTTTAAAATATCTTATCTTGCGATATTTCGGTGCGTAGCACCTTCGTCAGGCCTGAAATTATTTAGCTTGTTTTCTGTTGGATATATGCACCTACTACTCTACAGTACTATAGCTCGCACGGACCCCTCCCCCACTCAGCCACTACCCTCTTTTCCCGAAATAGCCAACACTAGCTCGTGATGACTTGCATAAGGTCACGTAGTTCCTCCCTATTGTTTATTTTGGGTAGTAGCAGTTTTATTTCCAAGGCTTTTATTATTTTCCTTTTCATTGTGTTCTCTACGAGCGGTGTAGTACATTGATGATCAATGAGGGGGCGCTGTTTATCGACGGGGGGCATTCTGCTTTTCATAGATTTGCCAACCCATCTAGGTACCCTTTTTTCGAGTTGACACGTTTTAGGATGGTGGCTAGACGATCTTGCTCCAGCTTCACAAGCGTTCACAAGTTTTACCAGAGAGATTTGTAAACCGGAACCAGGGAAGCAATTACAATACAAAATGCCTGTCGATAAACAGCGCCGGGGCGTTTTGATGAGCGTGTTCCTCTGTGCGATGCCTGGAGAAACTGCTGTTAGGGTAAGAAGGTGGATTTTCCAGCGCTCTCTGGTGTTCGTCGGACCGTGTTGATAGAGGGGCTCACAGGTTTCCTGAGCACATATTCTGTCATTTCAAAGGCATCTTCGCCTTCGCCAGCGGCCTGCCAAAAATCCAAGAACACGCGAGACCGAAGTCGTTCCAAAGCTTTGGCAGAGAGAAATACAAATTAGACAAATAACCCAATCAGCAAATCCATCCAAAAGTAACCTGGCTTAGCTTGAGCTGGTGACCACTCCGCCTTAGTTCGACCACAGATAAGCTCGACCACGCTTATCGTCGAAACCACCGCCCTGGTTTGAATGATAAGCCGCGAATGTCGGCAAATGATGCAAGTTCACAAGTGAGGGCAACATGCTCCTCCTTCCTGTCCATTTTTGGATCTTTCGGATTCTCATGTTTCGTATGGTCTACGCTTCGCTCGAACTTTCCCCTTCAAACTGCATTAATTTTCGCTCTGTCGGTGCCCTCACACAGCGCACTAGGGTCACAGTGATCTCGCGCTTCCCACGCTTTCACCCAGTAGTCCCCCTCCCCGTCCTAAGGAGTCACTCACTTCTTCGCTGTCATGTTTCCAATGCGTGACAAGCTCATACGTCGATTATCATGGGATAGGAAATACAATGTTCGGGTTTGGTTACCATCTGTAACGCTAGTGAAGAGTGTTTCTAATGATTTTTTCGTAAAACCCTACAGGAGTAGTGTTTCTTCAAATAGCGAATGGCGATATATGAGTTCAGGTCAGTACCGTGTATCCAACAGGACACGTTTAGTTACACTTACAAAGGCAAGACTTCGATAACAATTCCTCCAGCTAGCGTCGAACTTAGCCTTCAAGAAAACTCAACGACAAATTCTGATAGGGTAGGGTAAAAATTGTGGATCGTCTTAATTGAACCCAAAAAGCCCATCCCACTGAGACGGTCACGCTTGCTCTTCCGCGCTTTCCAGCAAACTAGGGTTGCCCTCCCCTTGGAATGAATCACCAGTTTTTGGTTTAGAGTGCAAAAGGTGCTTCAAACAAAGCCATTGGTACTCATTAAGGCGCTATCTCAATAAGATGCGGCATTTTAGTGGCATGCAATACGTCTAAAATCACGCCGATCCCCTCGCAAACTATGAACGCAACTTCAGCGTGGCCGATTCTACATAAAGCGAAAAAATTTCCGCCAAAATCCGAAGTAAATTGCAAAATGGTGCAGCAAAATGTAAATAGTTAGCTCCTCATGTTAGTCCATACACTCACTATCGCGGTTATGAGGAATGCGCGGTGCGTTCATTAGCCAAACGTGGACGAGCTTTGCTTCTGTAGATATATTGCCGTTCGGTGACAATTTTAGTCATGACTCAGCCATGCAGAAGTGGTAGTAGCAGGCGTTTCAAATAGAATAATTCCACGAAAAACGCATTTTACTCTATGTTAAAATGAAATGCGTAGCCAGGCAATGAGGAAATTCACTGTCGCAGGGTATGAACGCGTCCTTGAACGTTCACTATTTCACCGCTATGCACGCTTCGCGACATAATCATAGTTAATTGAAAATTGATCCTCTCAAATTTCACAGTGTATGCCAGTAGGATAATGTAACGGCGATTTGCATGTGTGCAGATTTGGTCAATATACCCCGAACTATGTCACCTAGCCAACTCACATAGCCACTATCGACATGTATTGACCAGGGCACATCTTGCCGTTGAGGAAAGCTTTTCAAATTACGACACCCCTCAAGTTCCTCCCCTCCCTACATCTTCCAATTTTCCAAAACTTTCTACCACTTTTCAGGAGTAATTCTTCAGTTAGAAAAATTATCGTCGAGCTGGGCGGGGGAAGGTGATATACAGCCTACTGAAACTGAAATAGCGAAGAAAAGCCAGCAACAGAGAACATTTTGATTTTTTTCAAAAGCAAAATAAGTTTGCTCTTTCTCCCTCCACCGAATACCCCTCTTCCTAGATAACGCCCCATCGTACGACCTGCTCTGATGCTGACCAAATTTGCAAATGGAAATCGCCGCAGCCGTCGTTATTCTGCACAAACACGTCCATTCACTCGGTGACGTGTTCGTACTTGTCGAAGCTCCCATTTCGCTCAAATACCTACGTGTTTGTTCGTGATTTTTTGTGTTCGTATCGATTTTCTGGTCGATTAGGGGCGTTCCGCAATTCGACAGTTCATCCATTATATTTCAAAAATGTACTTCGCTTTCACTGATTGTGTCCTTTCCATATCAGGAATTGTCTCGTTGATTTCAGCACCGATGCGGTTGCAATGGGTGGGGGCACGATATTGGTGCCTGATATTACTGGTACTGGCAAAAGTGGTTGCAGAGGATTCAGATGAGGAAAAGGTAAATGCACTGCTTTATTTGGACCTTTTTTTCTTTATCACATTATTTTTAGTTGTTTGTTTTTTCTCTGTTGGCATCGTCTAGCTTTTTCCATTACTTTTTCCTATGTTCATGTCGGACGTGTAACAAATTAATTTTAAAATAGGACTGTTATGTTGGCGAGGAAGTTCTGTTTTGATTCTCGAGACCAAGACTGCTTTCCTTTCGTAGAGGAAATGCAGAAAAAGATGAAGGATAAAGTCTTCGCCGTTGACCAGTTCCTTTTTGAAATGCGGCACGCGTTCTATATCCATT